CAGCAATTATTTAACTCAGTTGTCACTTCCAGAGCAACTTTTTTTTTTTTTTTGCATTGTCAAATGGAGCTTACCAATTGATTTGTGAGTAAAGAATCATGCTCTACAAATGAAGTCTCGTTGAGTGAATTTTTTCCTCACCAGTAAAATCCTTTTATTTCTGCTTTTTCTTAAATGCAGATGCTCTGCTTGGTATCTACGAGATAAAAGTATTGCACAAATTAAATACAAAGATAGAGCCTCTTAATGGACGGCGGAAGAAAAAGGAGCCAAAAACAAATCCCAATCTGAAATGATCAAATTTATATTGTTATTGCACACATATTTTCAAAATAAAATACAAACCATCAATTCCCAGAGTAGAGAAAAACAAAAGTTGAAGTCTGATCTACTCCAATCTAACGAGGAAATAGTGTACTCTTCGACATTTCATTGATGGAATATTGATTGTGGTTGGCAAACTGACCCTCCATTTCTATAGTGGTTGCGACGGGTTCCATTTGACTATGTATGAAGAATGCTTGTTCCTGAGGAAATGGTAATTCAATTGAATCATTACTTAGATATTGAACAACTTCATTCATGAAAGGCCTGACTTCTGGATTTCCTTGAACACACAATAAGTTGATACGGATGCATTTGATTATTTCACTGTGTGACCCAGCTTCTGTCAGATTTGGATCCAACATCTCTATCAATTTTTAGTCCCTCCAATGCTTCCAAGCTTGCCATTATGTCAAATCATAAATTCAAAATAGGGCCCTACGTACTATTAATTTGATTATAGAATATTGTTAACATAAGCTCCAATGACTGCGTTGATGCTTGTAAAGATGACCACGATGAAAGGTATGAGATGATTATTTGAGAAATATTGAAAGTTTCATACTCACATTACTTAATAGTCCATCAGTATATTGAGATTCAGGATATTCATGATGAGAATTTATATTCTTCTTTCCAATAATAATTTCTAAAACCATCACCCCAAAGCTGAAAACATCTGATTTCTTAGAAAATAGTCCAAACTTAATATATTCTGGAGACATATGACCCTGCAATACATACATAAAATAACATATAAATATATCAATATATGTTAGAATATTAGCACCAATCAATTTGAGCAAAATCTTGTGCCATTATTTAAATTCATCAGCAAAGTACACGTGCAAGATACACAAGTACCTCCAGAGAAAGACAAAAATAGAAGAAAAAGAGAGAGAACTTATAATATTCCAACAATTCTATTTGTGTTCCCCCTCGTTTCATTAATACCAACCATTCTTGTCAGGCCAAAATCAAAAATTTTGAATTCATCTCATCATCTAACAATATGTTGTTAGGTTTGAGATCTCAATGTATTACTTTAAGACATGAATGTTCATCGAGATAAAGAATTCCTCAAGCAATTCTTCCTATAATTTTATAGCGCTCAAGCCAATTTAACCTTCTTGGCTTTTGTGAACCTATTCATAATTAAATTACTTTGTGAGTATTAAATTGAATGACAGATATTTTCACCTCCAAGAGTAATGAAAGAATGAATAGTACTACTTCTGGTCCTAATTATAAGACATCATTTATAGTCTACAAACACAATCTTATAATTATGACTGGAGGTAGTATATGAATAAAAAAATTGAAAAAATGGTAAGATGAGTTTGGTTAGAAGAAACAAACCAAATAAAAAGTAATCCAGACTCTTGTTGGGAACGTATTCATAAACAAGTATTTTTCCTTCGTCTTTCAGGCAAAATCCTAATGGTGCCACCAGGTTGCTATGTTGAAGTTTGGCAATTAATAAAACCTCATTCTTGAATTCTAATAAGCCCTGAGTAGAATTTTCTGACAATCTCTTTACAGCAATTTTGCTGCCAACGGGAAGAATGCCCTGAAATCATAAATAATCAGATAATGAGGGAGCGGGAAATACATGCAATTAATGATATACACAAGCACACACGCTGATTTGATTGCATAATTAAGTTACCTTGAAGACTTCTGCAAATCCACCTTTGCCTATTCTATTTTCAGTTGAGAACTTATCTGTTGCAGCTTCAATTGTTGCCAAATTGAACTGTAATGACTCTAGCACAGCTCCTTCACTTCCAACTGTAGATATATGTACATTCCAAGGTAAGTACACTACAACAACATAGTTTTTCTCGCAGCTGACTGAGTTTTCTTTCTTGTTTTTTCAAGGAAAAAAAATAGCCTAGATACAGTGTTTCTTCAGAATCTCCTTATATATAGCTCTTGCTCCTTTTTCTTTGCCAGTAATAGTAGCCGAAACAAAGGAGCATGATTGAGCCAACAGTAACGGACACCACCGCTATTATAACTGTTCGTGAGTGCTCGTTGTCTTCTCCTGAGTAAATTAAATGGGTGTGTACATTCCACAGACAAGAAATGGAGAAGATTTGTGAGCACAAAATTGAGAGCCAATTAAGAATACCAATTTATATTTAGTGAACTATATCTTTGTAAGAAAAATGATTAGATCCCAATTACTTTACCTGGATTTCCTGGGGAACCTGTATCGTCTGGGGGATACGCAGGTGGCACCACAACAACATTTTTACTGTCATTATAAAATCTGTACGATTCAAACCTCAAGTTGCAGCTAGGATTCAAGACCTATCCTCCTTTCTTTGCAGAACAACATGACATGATATTTTGCAAAGCACCTTGTAGACATTTTCTGCAGTCTTGGCTGGACAGGTTTGGAGTACATTGTGCAAGAGTAAACAACGTTTTGAACTCTACATCGTAGGTTTTTGTTTTTGTTTCAAAATTTTTCACTCCTACAAGCTCTGATGAGTTCAACGTCGCCGCCACTAGATCATTCAATGTATTCCCTAACAGCCGATTGAAGGTCGTGTTTTCGTTTTCAAGCATATCCCCACCAGGTTTTGTATATACAAGTAGTGTGTCCAGGGCAGAGAAGAAAAAGCGATTGGAATAGCGAAGCATATACATATCATACCATGCTATCTCCTCCTTTGAATTAGGACACGAAAGGTTTAGTTGGTCGATCCCCTCATTGACGCATTCATGGCAGAGCTCAAGGGACACATCTCCCCGACTCATGAAGAGGCCATTGATGGTGTCAGACTTGTTCCCGACACTGGTGCTGTAGAATCCAGTGTTTTTGGTGTCATTGGATGCCTTGGAGAGTTGTTGGGTGAGATTTCTGAGGTTGTTTAGGTACTGATCGTTGGCTTCGGTAGTCGAGCAGTGTAAGATCAGGACGTCCAAGCCCTGTTTAACAATAGAAACAAAATGTTTAGGATTAAGCTAAAGCATATATTTGATCCTTGAACTTTGTACAATATTTTAATTTGGTCCCTTAACTTAAAAAAGTATGTATTTGGTCATTTAACCCTAAATCATTTGGATTCAATGATTTTTTTTGTAACAGTAATATATGTTTTGAAAATTAAACTTAATATGTTATTATTTGAGAATATTTTATCAACATTTAAGATTTTAATATTATCATTTTTTTAAAAAAATTAAGATTAAAAGATTAAAAGTATACTTTTTAAAATTAAAGGATCAGATTAAAATTTTATATAAAGTTAAAAGATGAAAAATATATTTTAACTTTAACTCAAGTCATGGCCTTGACTGTTCGTAAATACCCAATTAGTCCCTTTTTTTGGGTACAGAAGGGGGCTGAAGCCCAAAAGATCAAAGAAAACACAGAAAGAAAACTTAAAGGCTCATCCCGCCTCCTGCCAGCTCCGTGCCTGTTTGTCAACCTCCAAAGCTTCTACCATTTCTTTTGGCCGACAAAAAAAAAAAAAAGCTTCGGCCATTTCTGTAGGTATGTCTGCAACAAAATTAACTAAATAAATAAATTCACAAAAATGTATCTCTCCTTTGACTTTAATCCTTAGCTTGTAAAATGCAAATCAGTGCCAACAATTCAAAGGTTGCGTGTATATAAATTTAATACTCCTCTAGGACATAATTAACTAATTTTAATATATTAAAAATATTAGTTAAATTAGTTAATATGATTTTTTTAAAATAGTTTAAATATCTTTCTTAATTCCCTCCATCTCTCCCTCCCACTTCTACTTAATTATTGTTGAAAAAATATCAATAGAGTTAATTTAAAAAAAAAATTGATAAGGTCTTATATAAAATTAACGTTAACTCTGTAATTAGGTCTTATATTAGGAATTGAAGAAGTATTAAGCAAACATAATGCCCCCAAAAACACCAAAGTATCGTGGGTAATGAATTATGCAATTTTTATGAAAAACTAAAATATTAAAATTTATTGTTTTAATGTTGAAATGTGAGATTACAAAGAACGCGTGACACGGCAACAGAAAAAACATATGGAAAAGCTTTTCAATATCTTTTCATGGAGTCTCAATAATAATAGTTACCATGCATTCCCTAAAAGAGAAAAGGAAAATCATATTGGTATTTACACTTTCTTTTAATTTGTAATTTGATATCTATATATTTTTTTCTCTTAATTAAATCATCTAAATTTACTTTTTTAGTAATATTAGTTCTTATGACTTTATTGTATTAAAATTTTTAGTTTTTATACAAGAATTAAAGAATAAAGAAAATTAAATTAAAAACTTAATTAAAAGAAAAAAACACATGAATACTAAATTGAAAATTAAAAAAACGTGACGGGAATTCCTTTCTCCTCATCTTCTTCTCCCTGTTTTTGTTTTGATGCCGTGCAAAGAAAAGGAAAAGAGGAAAATAGTGACGTCAACTTCAGATGCAGTGGATGGAGGCTGGTCGCCCTTGTAATAAAATCGGTCTTCTCCGAATCTCAAATTGCAGATCGGATTCTGAATTCTTCCTCCGTGTAAAGTATTTTCTTTTGAAACAAGAAGATTCATGATGCCATATAGACACTTGCCACAGAATTGTCGGGACAGATTCGGCGTGCACTGTGCAAGAGTGTACACCGATCCCCCACTAAAGTTTGCTTCTTTTGTCGCAAATTCCTTGGCACCTCACATCGCCGCCTCCACCACCGCATCATTCAACGTCTTATTTAATTCTGCGTATGCATCTGGGTTTGGAGGGGGTAGAATCTCGCCGCATTGTGTTGACATTGGTTTACGGAGACAGCTAGTTAACAACGCTCTGCTAACTGTCGGCAGTTGATCGAGGGTGGAGAAGAAAGAACGGTCGGAATAGCGGAGGGAGCACTGGTCGTACCAGATGACTGCCTCTTTGTTGTAGGGACATTCGGAGGCCATTCGATTTATGGCGTCCTGAACGCAATCTCGACAGACCTGAATGGGGACGTCACCTCGGCACATGAACTCTCCATATACGTTGGCAGAGCTGGTGTTGAAGAATTCGGGAGTATCACCGCCGGCGGCCTTTTCATACAAGATACCGAAGAGAGTGTCAAGGTTGAACTGGTAGGGGCTACTGGAAGTGAAGTTTTTATTAATTGTGCAGCTGTGGTCAAAGTAAGCCGGGATGTGGACTTCAGAAGAAGCCAGATCAAAGGAGGAAAGAAGCAGAAAATAGGATAGCAGTTTCAGAAATGGCATATCCATATTCCTGCCCAATGCTTCTGCAGGCGTGTCCGTGGCTTCTGCTAAATAAAGTGAAGTAAAGCTTTCACTCGGTTGGACCTCTAGCGCTACAACCGCATCTTCCCATCTTCTTCCCTTCTCATTATTGTTATTATTATTTTCCTTTTGATTGTTATTCTCTCTGACACTTCTGCTCTGTACTCTTCCCCCTGGCCCTTAGTGATCTTTTTGTTATTTCTTAACGTTTGACGATTACGTTGTGATTTGTATTCCGTTGAGTAATTGTTCATACACTGTGAACGAGTATAGCTATTTCAATGTATATCTATCTTCAGATTCAATTCCATCTGTGAATTTGCAAGAGTCATAACACTATATTGTCCACAAAAATAAAGAGCAATAAGACGGTTCATAATCATAATGCACCGTCAATTTTAGCACTGTCTCACCACCAAAAAAAATTGAAAAAGATGGAAAAATCAATCAGAGAAGCTTATTATAAGCAATTGAGAACACACACACACACTTTCATATATAAGAAAACCAAAATAGCCTCTTAATGGATATCAGAATAAAACAGGGGGCCGATTGAAAAAACAATCCAAATTTTTATTGTTCTAGATTTTCATTCAAAGACTACTAAGGAGAAATGGTCAGCTAAGAATAACCAATTCAATTTAAATTCCAGTTATTAGCTTTTTTGTCACATATATAGTGCCTCCGATTTTAATTAGAAGATTTAGTTTGTAGAATGATCTACACTACAAACTAGCTATATCTTATGGTTAGAGTTTTGCCCCCCAACTATCTGTTTTAGATGTGCATAACTTTCTTGAATTATATGTTGGCAAAAAAATTCTTGAGTTGCACGTACGAAAATTTCAAAATGCATGAAATTGAATGATGATAACAAATAAAAACTCAAAATGTATACATTGGTTTGTTTATTTACACTTGTGCCATTTTAGATTTGAGAGTGTTTGAATGAAAACTAAACTATAGTTTTAAAAATAATTTTACGATATACCAAATAAATATATAAAAAAATTTATCTTAATTTATAAAAAAATATTTTTTAAAAATATTTTTAAAGTAGGAAAACTTAATTTGAAGGTCCTTTACAGTTTTTTTTTTTGAATCAGGTCCCTCTTTTTTTTCTTTTTTATTGAATCCTTTGACCTTTTACCGTTGCATCCGTGAGTCCTTCCTGTTAAATATAAACTGACGGTGTTAGAAATTTCCGTTAATGGCCCTGAAGTTTTCCTCTCTCTTTCACCGTTGCTCAACATCGACTCCATTTCATCCCCACCAGTCTCCCAACATACAAGTGGCTCACCATTCCTTCCAATCTCTCCATACGACCTTCCCTCCGCCTAGTCGAAAAGTCACCTACACACTCTCCAACCCAAGCTCTCCACTTTTGACAATGATGCTCGCTTGCTCACTCTCTCTATCTCTACGTATATGTATATATATCAGTGAGGTTCAGAGTGAGAACTGTTTCTTATCGAGCTCATGGCTTGCTAGTTATCCACTCATCAACCTTAAGTGAGAACCGTTGGGTTGCCATTGAAATTCTTAGCGAGAGCCACCAGAGCTAGTTATGCACTTATCACCTGTTCTTGATGGTGACTCTGTTATCTGTGTTGGAGACAGAGCCAAACAGAGCATTTTAATAAAAGTGCTTATTTCATGTTGAAGATGAAAACTTGGGTTTGCGGAAGCACAAGTTTGTTAAACTAACCATATGGGGGCCACGCTCTTATGACTATCTTAACCGAGAAGGGCATCCCTGAGAATCAATGGGGAGGGAATAAAAAGAGATATAATAACGTTTGGCCGAATTTGTGCCCGAAGCCTCATGTTGTTTTTATGATAAAACCCATGCTTATGATACCTCCTTGGACGACGAAGATTCTTATTTGTCTCCATCTCCATAAGCTCACTCCCCAACTTCTGATAAAATGCCCCCGGCGGTTATGTATTTAATCAAAGACATAATGCTTGTGCTTTTCCTATCTTTCTTGTGATTTTTTAGGAATTTCTCGCCCATTTAATTGGATAGGCTAGTTATATTGTTCAACCTTGCACGCAATATCACTTTTAATCAACAAAAGTGCTTATCCAGCCCCATTTAGATGAATCACAATGGGGTCGCGGGCGAAGGCGGATGATGATGAGCGAAGGTCGTCATATCATCGGGAACACCGGAGTGATGAGGTTGCAGCTACAGCGCAGGAGCAAAGCTGGTTTTGGCCTTTGGGCTGTGGAGGAAACGTGCCAGTGGAAGATGTCATAGAGAGGCGGGAATGAATAGTGCCATTTGCATGTGCGAGAAGTGTGGGGAAGGGAACGAGGTTGAGCAATGAGTGAGAGAGAGGGGGGGGGGACAGCTCGGTAAATCTAACGGGAAGTTTTGACAGTGTTAGTTGTATGTAACAGCACGGCGCGATCAACTTAACAGTAAAAAGTTAAAGAATTTAATAAAAAAGAATAAAAACTGAGGTACCTGATTCAAAATAGAAGAAAACTGCAGGATTGTTATAAAATGGATTCAGAATAAAACCACAAAAGTCGAATAGAGAAAGATAAAGACAAGAGAATAAGAGAACTTTTATATTTCTTCACTTACACTACAACACAAATGGCATGCTTTATTTATAGACATAGTCTTATACATAGATTACAGTTGTCCTTAAATGACAAATAGTAGATAATCAGTCCCATGAATATGAATGGAGGTGAGTTATAAGAGTGAATGGATAGTGAAGGAGTAATGGATAGTAGAGAAGTAATGGATGGTAGAGGTAGTGGAAGTTACTTGGAGAAGATGGAGAGGAAGGAGTAAATGGACATCCACATAATATTCACAACACTCCCCCTTGGATGTCCATTATACAAATATGTGCCTCGTTAAAAAACTTAAACTAGAAAAAACCCTGTGGGATAAAAACCTAGAGGAAGAAAACGAGTATACATTTATCGATATACTATCCAGTGTTGCCTCATTAAAAACCTTACTAGGAAAAACCCAGTGGGATAAAAACCATAATCAAGGAAAAAAGAGTACAGCATGTGTTAACTCCCCCTCTTAGTAACATGAATCGATATCTCTGAATCTATAACATCCAATACCATGAACAAGCTTTTCAAATAGTATACAAGGAAGTGACTTGGTGAACAAATTTGTCAGATTTTCATTGGAACGGATTTTCTAGATATATATTTCACCATCTTTTGAATATTATGAAATATTTCATTTGGAATAAACAACATGTGGATCAAAAAGGAATTTACAACCTTTATTTTAGTGTCTTCGTGTTGATGAAGAACTATATCTTACTAGTAAGTTAACAACAAATGATATGTCAAGTCATAAGTGACTGATAAGATATGATATGATAATTCTGGATATATGATTTGGTACTTCTAGACCAAATAGTTCTTCATCACATTCTTGAAATCTAAAAGGTTCTTTATTCACCTCCACAAATCTCACAACTATCAAAGTATATAATGGATATGATTTATCCATATAAAAACACTTTAAAACCTTTCTTGTATCAATTATTTGATACACAAAAATCTTCATTTCTCAAGTATGCAATTTGCAACTTGCGACAAAACTTTATTCTTCCCAAGTCGTTTATGTCAAATTCTTTCTTTAAGCGATCCATAGCTTTTGTAAGCTTTTCAGGAGTTCCAATAATAATATTTATGTTATCAACATAAACAAATATAGCAAACTCATTTTCAAATCTTTTTATAAAAATGCAGGGATAAATTAGATTATTTTTATATCATTTTTTAACCGATATTTACTTAGTCGGTTATATCACATACGCCCTGATCGCTTCAATTCTTATAGAACTTATTTAGCTTAATTAAGTATTGTTCTCAAAAACTTGAATTGTATGCTTCTGGCAAGTGAAATGCTTCAGAGAATTTGATATGTTTTGATCCAGAACTATAAAATGATGATACATACTGAAATTATTTTAATCTTCATAATATTTCATATACTGAAAGATTTTCTTATATATGCTCCTGGCATATTTTGGATCCTTAAGGATTATCATGTAAATTTTACTATTTAATTATCCTCATCCATGGGTCATCTAACATGCACATTTCATAATGCCAGACTATTCAAATATGTAAAATTATATCCACCACAAAGTAATATGTCTCATCATAATCATTTGTGAAAATTGATATTTTCACATAAACGTCCATATATTCTATAGAAATTTTATATTTCATGTGTTGGGATTGCAGGCCTATTTTCACATATTGAAATAATATTTTCATCACGTCTTTTCCCTTTTCTTCTTGTTCTTGTCCAAATTTATATCTACTTTGTATGATAGATCTATGTGTAAGATCCTCTTTTTATCACGTGATATTCTTATGAAAATCATTGTCGACAACTTTACCTTTTCGGTTCTTTTTTTTTTTTTGTGACATAACTTGTTAAGATCTCTTTCTTCCTTTTCAGGTACTTGAACCTCTTCTGGGGTTTTACAATTAGTTATGTTTTGACACTCTTTTAGAGTATATGCCTCCTCAATATAACTTCTAAGTTGTATGCTTCTCTTTATTCAATATATTTATATTGGAACCAATTAACCTCTCATGCTTCAGGCATGTCTCATTTTTATTTATACTAATTGGAGCATTTTCAGCTGGAGTAAGAGATTTAAAAATTTTCATTCAGGTCAGTAAAATATTTTGTAGCATTTCATGAATGCAATTTTGATGAACTTCTGGTCCATATATACTGATATATTTGAGGATCTATATTTGATAGTAATAATGTATTCCATGTGTTTTCTTTTCCAGCTACTCAATTTCTCCCCCTCATGTTAGGAAAATTTTGTCGAATAACAGTCAACTAATTATGCAGTATAAGTCTCCTAAATCTATTTGTTTCTTTTAGGAACATTGTTTTGTTCCATTTAGAGACAAACAAGAAGAAGGAGGTTCTTACCCAACATATGTCCCAACTTTCTTTTGATATT